AGACGGCGTGGACGATAGTGATAGTGATGATGATGGTCTGATGGAGAGAGGCACGTAACGGTTCTAAAGAAGGGCAGGACGGTACGTACCGACTCTGAACTGAAACTGACGAAGAGCTTCAACGAAGGGCATAGATTCGATGTCACCTGGGGAGAGAGGTACGGGAAACAAGGGTGCATGGAGAGGAACGAGGGAGAAAACATCAGTAGAAATCCACGGGTGGCAGCCTGGCCGGGGCAACAACACCAGACAATCAAGCCCATCACGGATATATATATATTGACACCCTGCGCTGCATGCAAGGACACCATTGCCGTCCGACGCACCAATAGTGCCGCCCAGCTCGATGACACAGACGTCAGCACTCTCCCCACTGCCGTCCACAGGTACCTGCGCCACGCGCTCTATCCAGTCCTGAATGGCCGTGGTTATGTGCGGTACCACCTGAGGTGCACAGAGGCAGGGGCAAAGGGGAGCGGTGAGGGGCATGGATGGCGGGTTTCGGGTTGAAGGCATCAACTGGAACCTGCGCAATGCGCTCTATCCAGCCCTGAATGGCCGTGGCGATGTGCGGTACCACCTGCGGGAAAGGGAGAGTTAAAGGTTTGAGGGGTGGGGTTGGAAGTAGAGGGTAGAGGGTTTGAGGTTTAAGACATCAAGTGAAATTTGTGCCCCTCACTCTATCCAGTCCTGGTTGGACGTGGTGTCTGGCACCACCACCGGTGGACAGAGGAAAGGGTGGGGTGAGGCGGAGCGGAAGGGGAAAGGTCGTGGGAATGGGAGAGGAGGGGAGGGAGGTTCACAGACATTACCTACCCCGATCCTTGAGCTAAAAGCTGCTGATTGGCCGTATTCATGTGCGGCAGCAGAAAAGCGGGGGTGAACGGTGGGAGGTGGAGGGGAGATGTATAAAGTTGAAAGGGTTGAGGGTTTCGGTTTGGGTTAGGGTTTTGTCATGACAGTGGTTAAGCCCTGAGATGTCACATGGTAAGGCAGCAACGGGTCCAGGGTTTATTTTAACGGTCATGCTCCACAATGCTGATACAATATGAAGACAACGGCATCATATTAGATCAATCACATTAAACCTCATACCAATCGTATTGCCAAATGCAGGTTTGGAATGGTCACGTGCTGTGGATAGCCGTAATCGTATTCACCTGGACTGTTTTGCCGAGGTAGTCACCACGCCTCTCCCGTTCAATTACAGACTGCCACGTGGAAAGGAACAGAGTGGGAAGGGGAAGGCAAAACGATGAATCGACCATTCCCAAAACGCATCTGACGACTAGTAACTGGAATAATGAGCTGAAACGACTGTACGGACTGATAGACGACTAATGGGAGTATGTACCAAGGCAAGGCACGGCAAGGCAAGGCAAGGCAGGCAGGCTACCTGATAGATCTTGCCAGTCGTGATGTTGTTATCTCGCGTGAGCGTGATGTCGAGGAATCTCTCGTAGTTTCCCAAATCCAGATCCACCTGATGCGGGAGGAAAAGCAGGGGCGCAATGCCGGCCAAAGCGTTTACAACTGGAAACGTAGCCTTCGAATGCTGAGCCTGATCGTCGGCAGAACCTGATTTCGCCAATGGGATCAAAATGAGCTACCGGCGCTTCCTTCATAAAGCTGTTGAACGTTTTTTTATTTGCAACAGACTGAGGTGAAAAGGCTGTTAAACCTCTCCCCTTGAAACATCCTGATCACCTCTAAGTCCCGGTACTCCCTCGCTCACCTCTCCGCCGTCATCCAGCACAAACACTTCGCCGTGCTCGAATGGCGACATGGTCCCCGCGTCCGTGTTAATGTACGGATCTGCGAACACTCGCGAAACGAACGAAGCGGTGACAGAGTTACCACGGTGCTGGCTTCGAATCTGGTGCTCCGTACCAGCAACTGCTCGAACTGGCTGATAAATGACGCGACACCGGCATGTAGCTACGACGAGAGCATTCAAACTATTCGTATCAAATACATATCCACGACATTTCTCGTACCGATCTTGATCGAAGTGACCCGGAGGCCGCATGCTTTTAGAACAACACCGATGCTGCTTGCTGTAACTCCCTTCCCCAATCCGCTCACGACACCTCCAGTCACGACCACGTATTTAGTCTTTCCCATAGCTCGTTTACAGCGATAATAAAGTTGACACCTTGCCTTGCCGGGTCTAGGGGAGTAAGCCTCTGCTAGTTTCAGTTCACACGATCAAGAGTTGGTGCGCACAGCTGCTGCCGATAAAGCTGATCGTTTATTTACTACCAGAAGCTCTTTAGTTCGGGTCTTAGAAACCAGCGGTAAGATAATGGATAAATGCAGTACGTGCTGATCGATATCGGAAGTTTCTGAGCGCAAATGCTCTGATTCTAGAGGTTTACGCAGCTGCTGTTGTTAGAGGTAAATTTTGTGCTTGCAGAAACACCTCCCTCTTTCGCCGCCACTAAAAATGTGCCTCAGTGCCACCACATCCCTGGAAACTGCCTTGTGCAACGCCCTAAACCCAACCAATCCAAGATGATGCCTCAGGAAAATTGACGCAGCGCCTGACCCCACATCAATCTGGCAAGCATGGATCTGATTAGGCAGCTTGAAAAGAGTACACCCAGGATGTATGATTTGCCTGTCTCAGGATGCGGAAGCTCTTATGTATTGCAAAGAGGCAGCTGTTAAGGGTACAAACTTGAAAGTTTTCCAGAATCTGCTGATCTTGTACAACCAACCATCGCTGAGGAGAGAGCCGCCGCCGAAAATATCTCAGCTCGTTCAGGTCGTCGCCCGGGGGAGCTCGCTGCCCGCGGGCAAAAAAATAAACCCCAGTCGGGCATGCATCCGGTCAGGGAGGCATCAACCCTAAATCCATGCCTCCATCTGATTTAGGGTTGATGCCTCCCTCGGATGGCATGCCATCCGATAGGGTTTTAGTTTTTTTCTGCCCGGGGCAGCAGGTCGTCAGGTCGTCACAGGTCGTCAGGCCTGACGACCCGTTTCCGCTGAGAAATACCACAACGCTTGATTCGGAAGCTCGTGTTTTGTCACGAGTTCAACAGAGACAGCTCAATTTGAGTCAAAACCAGCGCCTCATTTTTTGGGGAACGGGCTGTGCTCAACGTGTACGCGTATGAAAAATCTTTTATTTCGAATCAAATGGAAATGCTGACCTCGACCCACGACGGTGGTGAAGTGATTCGTGATGTGAACAAAATCAGAGCTGCTGTGATAGGATCCTTGCATCAAACTGCAAGCAGGTTACTTGCCAGCCCGTTGGTTTCCCCTTGCCGCGGTTTTTCCTTGCTGGTGTTCGACTGTAGCCACCCCCCGCCCCACCCTGTCACCCCACACGACACGACGACGGAGTGACTGTTTCATGCAGTCACTGCTTCGGCTTCGGCTTCGAGTCACATTTCGCCTTGGTCTGCCCGCAGATCGTCGAGGCACCTCCTAGTGGCATTGCTGCTGCTCATTCACCGACAGAGTCCTGAGTCCTGACCCTTCCGCTCACAATTCGACTTTGGCTTCGTCCTCCTGCCCGAGATGCGACGAAGAATCGAGATCCGTCGGTTGTGACCTTCAGTCCAGAGAGCAAACCCTCTCCGCTGTGCAATAAAAACTGCATCCCTCCTCACGTCAGACATCAGCAAACCCTAGTCCTATTCTGCCTTATCAAATCATCAAGCCCATCCACGCGCCGTCAAGTACTACCAGCAGACTTTAGTACGGTTAGTTCTCCGTTTATGGTCCTTAGGTTCCATTTTCTTCCTTCCCGTCTGAGTTTTGGTCTAATTAGCACTCAATTCAACAACTCATACGTACTCCAGTGTGCTCTAGGGTTTCATTCTCCGTGACTTTTGGTCCCAGTAGACAAACAGACGTGTGTGTAGAACAAACGCTTGAGAGGTGCGAGGAGCATCTCCGAAGGGTCTGAGTAGTCTGTTTTATTCTCTACTTGTCGGCAACGAAGCCGCGGTTGCGACCATGGTTATATTACGGCAGACGCTTAGGAGTTTATGCTCACCAAATGGATGGACCTATGCAGTGATCTGGAAGCTCAAAAGACGCAACCGAATGTACGCTGGGAATTTTCACATCCTTACAGGTTTTCCAGCAGTTTCAGCAATATCGTGTTTGCTAACGCTGCTTCCCACTAATTGGTTCAGGGTCTTGACTTGGGAGGATGGATATTGTTCGATGGATCCCCCGGGAGCGACTCAAAAGGAGCAGAGCGCGGATATTAGCAGCATTGACGGGAACGTGCTCGGCATGGCGGTCGCGAAGATGTCTTATCACATATATTCTTTCGGAGAAGGGTGAGCACTAGTTCGTTAGTGTCTAGGTTTCCTGTAACTCAAGACAGTGTCTTCGTCGGCTTGTCTCTCGAAATTTATCCGTGCCTGACTGTGCAGCATCATTGAAACTGGAAAGTCTGCTGTTACCATTGGCGACTCAGATCATCCCTATTGTTTCTTCTGCTTCTCAGAGTTGTGGGAAGAGTGGCTTTCTCTGGGAAGCATCAATGGATATTTGCTCCGCGATCTCAAGGAGTCCCGGGCATGGATTCTCGCCCGGGATTTTCGTCCATGAAGGGATACGGGGGCTGCACGGGTGTCGACAAGGTGTTTATCTAACTTCCATGCTTATCTGATTTTCCCGGCAAACTTTGTTGGTCTTGCCGTTTGTACTAGGCGGTGTTTCTGACGTGAGTCTTCCTTGTGTTTTTTCTCCTACCAGTATCCATCTGGATGGGATGATCAATTTGCTGCTGGAGTGAAGGTGCGTATCGTAGATTCTGTTCGAATTTGTGAACCGCTTGCTGGTTTCGGTCTACTAACGCTACGAAACTGCTGTTTTTGTCTTGACAGACTATCGCCATCATCGCCGTTCCGGAGGGAGTCTTACAACTCGGTTCCAGTCGATCGGTCAGTCTCGAAAGCTGTTTCCGCCGTTAAGTAGATCGACTTTTGGGCTTCCCGGGTTAACATTTGGTGTCTCTCCGTGTTCTGCAGATGCCAGAGGATTTGAAATTCGTTTCTCACATCCGCTCGCTCTTCGCGGCGCTTCAAACAGTCCCCGGAGCGTTTCTATCCGATCTCTTCACCGACAATGCCCTGAAAGCGAAATCTTTTCCCACGCCTGACGCGACCGCGCTTGCAGCCGCCGGATTCCCTCCCGACATCGCCGCGTCTCTTGGCAATCCCAACCCGCAGTCCGATTTCCTCGGCGTCTCCTTCCCCGGAGCTCTCAACCGTCGTTCAGTCCAGTCTAACCCGCAAAGCCTACAGATGCCTGCCCCTGCAGCTGCTGCTCCTCCTGCCGCTCCTCCAGCTCCATCTCGCCCATTCGCGGGGAATCAGCTGGCCGCCTCCTCGCCGTCGGATCTCTTCAGCATTCTCGGCATCCCATCCGACTGTCGTGCCGACGACCAGAACGCTTCTCGGTTCATGGGCTCCGCGGCTTTGAAGCCGCCAGCGGACCCGAAGCAAGAAGCAGCGTCGCTGACCGATTACCCGAGCACGGCAAAGCGAGCGAAGGTCGCTCCGGAGAGGACGACTCGAGCGTCCGTCGCCATTAACCAGATTCAGCTGAATTTCTTCGACTCGGACCTCCCTCTCAGCGGTCCGACTCTTCCCTCCAACTCGCTGAATCACAGCCCTGTGGAGCGCACATCGCTGTCGTCCAGGCAATCGCCTCCGACCGAAGCTTCCGCGCACGTGCTCGGCCCGTCTGGCGAGCTGCTGGGAAGAGCAGAGGCGGCCGCGGGAGCGGGAGCGGGAGCGGCGAAGCGGAAGGCGGTGGTGGATCTGGAGAAGGAGCTGCGCATCTTCCACGACCAGTTCCTCAACGACCAATCGCTGTCCCTCGCCAACCTCCCCTCCAGGAGCTCCGCCGCGCAGAAGCCCATGGCGGCGGGGATTGGTTCTGCGTCCGAGCGCGCGCCTGCGCGGAGAAGCCTTGGTGTTGCCGGCGCTTTTGCGGGTCTGGACGAGCAGCTGCTCGCGGGCATGACTGCTAGCGGCATGACTGCGAGCGGCATGACTGGGAGCGGCATGGCTGGCAATCGGAACGGGAACGCTGCTGCGCGGGCGTCTCAGTTCAACAGCACCGGCGGTGAAGCGCTGGGGGGTTCCTCCGCGTTTGGCGGCGCAGATGAGCTCGCGCAGGCCCTCGGGTTGCACTTCACAGGGCAACTGCCCGTTGACTTGGCTGACCTCGCTGACCTGGCAAGTCTGGCGGACATTGGCGCGAATCAAGGCTCTGCCAACGGTCAGATGGGAAGCGCAATGAGCCGCGGCGTGTTCGACCAGGCAGGGGCTGTTGGAGGCGCCAGGTGCGGTGCTGATGCCGGTGCGTCGAGGGGAGGGTTCTCCATGACTTCGGGGCTGCCGCAACCACAAAAGCTGCAGCACAGGGCTGGAGTGGCCCCTGCTGTCGGTAGTGCTCTTGGTTTTGACGAACTGAGTGCGTCATCGAGCAGGGCAGGCGCAGTGAACGGCGCTGTGGGGGCGGGGGCGCAAGCAGGAGCGGGGATGGGGAACAGCCTGGCGGAAATGGAACGAATGGCGACCCTGGAAGCTCTCATGCGGACGTCTGGGTTGCTGCCTCGCCTGAGCCTGGCTGAGCTGCAGCAAAGCCAGGTCCGCAGCACTCACAATCCCGTGGCCGGAGCTGCTTCTGCAGCAGCGGAAGCGGCCAGTGCTGGTATGGCGTCAGGCGCTAAGCTTGGGAGTCTGCCTGGGCTTCAGAGCAGGGCCAGCGTTGTTGCGAAGGCTGCGGGGGATAGCGGAAGAGGTATGAGAAGCGTGGAGCCCAGTGGGAAGGGCGTGTTCAAGTCTGAGGCTGCGTTCAAGGCCTTGCCAGATCGATCGGCAAACGCTGGCGTGCAGGAGCTCGGTGTGCCAGAGCTATGTGGTGGTGGTGCCGCTGCTGCTGCTGCTGCTGCTGCTGCTGCTGCTGCTGCTGCTGCTGCTGCTGCTGCTGGGAAGGATGAGAAGAAGGGGACGAAGAAGAGGGGGAGGGAGGAGAAGCCGAAGCAGAGGCCTCGTGATAGGCAGCTGATTCAAGATCGCGTGAAGGATCTGCGAGGGATAGTTCCTAACTCTGAAAGGGTATGTCTGCTCTGATATTCAGACTTATGTTTCTTTTTTCGTTTTCTTTCTCTGATTTGACTTTTTTTTTTTTGTTTCCTGCAGCTGAGCATTGATGGACTGCTGGAACGCACAATCCAACATCTTGTGTTCTTGAGGGAGTTTTCAGCTCTCCGTGCAGACATTGACAAAGGCCAAGCAATGCTGGTGAGTCATAAACTTTTTAAGATCCATTGGCGCCTCACCCCTCCTTTCATTCAGTCTTTTAACTTGCATGGTTTTTGTTTGAACGCAGGCGGAGAAGAGTTTTGATGAATGTATGAGTGAATGCCCAGTATCTGTGCAACAACTTTCACCGACCCTAGTTCAAATTAAGGTGAATAGTGTGAGGCTTTTTCGTATGAACTTTCTTTAAATTATGCCGTCCAGATCCGCTAAATAGTGATTACTATTTTTATGTGCAGGTGGAATGGATTGGTAGCACTGTGCCGATTGACCTTGCTGACGGACTTCGCCAGATTGGGCTGGTGGTTCGCAAGTCATCAGTCAAGTCCTCTGGTGGCCGTGTCAAGGCACACATTATTGCTGAGGTGAGTCTTGCATCTCCTGATAGTGTTTCCTGTCCCTTGTCTGCGAGGTCAGTCATTAGGACACAGAACAGGAGGTTTCGTGCGTTGTAGTTAGTCGGGTCGGGGGACTGAAGTGATTACTCTTTTTTTTTTGGCAGTGCAAGCAACCTGTGGAGTGCATGGACATCATGTGGCATGTTCTCCAGCACCTGAAGGATAAGCTGCCAGATATGGCCAATGTGTTTTCTGGGACTGAGAAGCCGATGGAGGCAGGGAAGGTAGATCCTGTCTTTGATCCGGCAGATTCGTGCTGTCAAGTGGTGTATCAAGTCGGGGTCATGTCTGCCTGAAGTCGCTTAGTCCAAGCCCGTGTATTCTGCTACCGTATTTACATTCGCCAAGTACTGTACCAGGTTTTGCTGATGTTAACAGAAAATGAAATTTGATGTCCCTGAAGATTGTATATGATGTAAAGATTATATGATGTTTTTTCATTCACAATAGCACTTGTGCCAGAGTGAAAGTGCACTGCTAAGAATGGAACAATTTATCTGTGACTTCCGGAGTCTTGACTTATGTATATCAATACATGTACACATGCATAAAATCCTCAACAGTGACAAACATTCAGCTTTTGGTCACCATCAGGCGCTTGATGTTGGCGATCTGTTTTCCTGGACTCAACCCCTTGGGACACGCCTTGGTGCAGTTCATAATGGTGTGGCAACGGTACAGCTTGAATGGATCATTCAAATCATCAAGCCGCTGCTTGGTATACTCATCACGGCTGTCCATGATCCACCTGAAACAACAGGAAGAAAAAGGAACGAATACTACGATTAGACGCAACGAAAAAGAAAAAAAACAGAGCAAAGAATGGCACAATGAACAAACGACTGGCTGGATTACAATACCTGTTGGCATTCAGAAGCGCAGACGGTCCGAGGTACTTCTCAGGGTTCCACCAGTAGCTGGGGCACGAGGTGCTGCAGCACGCGCACAGGATGCACTCATACATGCCGTCAAGCTTAGCCCGGTCTTCCTTAGTCTGAAGAAATTCCTTTCCATCTTCCGGCAGCTTCTTGGTCTTCAGCCACGGCTCGATGGACTTATACTGCTGGTAGAACTGAGTCATATCCACCACGAGATCTTTAATGACGAACATATGGGGTAACGGAGTGATTGGAATAGAAGCTCCAGGAGATGCTTCGATCTTGGTGAGACATGCGAGGCCGTTCGCGCCGTTAATGTTCATCGCGCAAGAACCGCAGATCCCTTCCCGGCAAGATCTGCGGAATGTGAGAGTCGGGTCGACCTCGTTCTTAATCTTAATCAGAGCGTCAAGAATCATGGGTCCGCATTCCTTTGTGTCTATGGTGTAGGTCTGAAGACGCGGCTTCTCGTTCTGGTCGGGATCCCATCGGTATATTGAGAACTGCTGCAGGCCCTTAGGTGCAGCAGCAAGCGCGGGAGTAGATCCGGTCACGAATGTCCTAAAAGGAAGCTTTCCTGACGCAACCGACTTGGCGTTCTGCCGCGCCAAGCGCGCAACAAGGCCTCCCAGCGTCATAGCGACTCGCGATTTTCAACGCTAAGGACGACCTGTGAGAACTACCGCGGCGGTACGGCCGACGTCGTCCTTGGGTCTGGATGCTAAGGAGCAGTGTAAGACGACCACACGCTTAGCTCCTCGACTGGCTTCTTGAAGCTCCACAGACTTGGTAGTAGGTCCTACATGCGAAAACAGTAAAACATCAATGCTGATGGGGGGTGGGTTAGCTGGCAAAGGAGATTCGTATGGTTGGTTGAAATCAACTAGAAGGTGAATAGGTGGCCTGGCCGAAGGATGTCAATAATCAGTGTGGCTGATACTTAGCTAAGCTCGCTAACATCACTGCGACTGGGTGGGATGGCCTGGAAGATGTCGGGCAGCTGCCAACATCAAGACTGCCACGCCAGCACACAATGACGTAGCAGGCTCGCTTGGGTGTGCGATAGTTGAGGCTTCGATTTTCAGGACAAAACCAGCAATGAGATATCATCTGGGCGACCAGATTATGTCCCAGTTGCTATGGATGCCCAAATAATCCAAGTTCCCTCCCACAACTTATAGTTAGGATATTGGAGGCAGGGTTGTCGCTAGCAGAAATTTTTTGTATGTTTGTCCTATGTTTGAAGGTAATGTTTTGAATTAATCTGATGGTTCAGAAATTTGCAATTGGTAAAATCTGTTCATTCAGAAATGAATTTCCTCAGTGACTGATCCATCAGACACGTTTTCCATGTTCCTCTGATTGATCAGGAACACATTCCGGTTTCGTCTGTTACCGGATCTTTCTTCCCTTGGGCGTGATTGACGCGTGAACAAGGCGTGGTGTGGGTGTTTCCCCTTGATTACTGGAATGTATGCATCATACATTTCGCGGCACGTGCTCCCACGTGTATCTTTCGCCACCACACCAAAAAAGATCTGCTGCAACGGGCAAACAGTCACGTTATATGCTGTACTCACATGATGTCTGCGTCACGACTTGCCCACGCAGGACCATTTCCGTCGTACGTGGCCTGTCAGGAGTGATTCCCTGGTTAGTTTTGTACAACAGTCATCAATCCAGCACCACAAACCCTCAAATTCGGCGCCTGCAGGAGGTTTAGGAAGCGCGCAACGGGATCACCACAGTCAAGTGGTGCCACCTACAGTTTTATACAGCCATGTGCGCTTCGTCAACTGGGGGTGTGTGTTCGGGCGTTGGGGTTTTGTCAGAATCCCAACCACTAGACCATTGGGATAAAAGGGCTTGTTAAGTAGCGGATCAGAGTGCGCCCATAACCCCCCAGGCGAACACGCCTGTAACCCCCCTAGGATCAATCGGGCATCCACAGTGCAGATCTACTGACAGGTTTCGGGGGGTCCTTCTTCTCCAAGCATCTCTTGCAAACGCCCCACCCAGCCATTTTCAGCGCGATTACACTAATTCTCTCCCCTTCCCCGTCAGTCCGTCTTCTCGCCATGGCGGACGACGCGGAAGCTGCTGAATCACCCACCCCACGGCCTAATCCACTAGTCACTGGCCTAGATTTCCTACGACGCTCCCAGCCTGCAGCCGTGTTAGGCTCGTCTTCGCCGACTCACATTCCAGTGGCTTCTTCCCCGAATCGCCAGGATGTTACTCCTGTTTCATTGCCCGCTGTTAATGCTAGACGGGCTTTCAGCAGCACACCGTCCGTCTCCTCTAGTTCCTCTACTCGGAATACTGCGAAGCCTAGATCGCAAGCGGCGCCTAGCTCTTCACGTGGTACTGCCGTCCCCCGTTTCCCCAAGGCATGCCGATTAAACCAGAGCACACTGCGGATTGCTAAGACGGGGGTTCCTCACATCCACATCGTGGCACACCCCACCACAGTGCCTGGAGTAGGTGCTTCTGTCAGATTTATATGACATAGCTACTGTAGGCTATAGTGGGGTAGCACATATGGGGTACAGTTTTCCTAGGGTTTGCATTTGTACCAAACTTTCCCTTAGTCATTTCATTCCTCGTTTCTTCTCATGGTATCGAGCAGGTTCCCTAGTGGGAACGATTCCTAGGGCCCACCACCACGATTTTTTTTTTTTTTCCTGTCCGGAGCGCGCTTCGCTCCGGCCCGAGTCGCGCCCTGTGTGCTCTCCCTACCGTCGCGCCCTCGCTAGGCCCCTCACGGCCCCGTCGCGTCGCCCTTAGCGGCCCTCTCACGGCTCGTCGCGCCGCCCCTACGGCCCTTCGCGCCGCCCTTACGGCCCTTCGTGCCGCCCTTACGGCCCGTCGCGCCCGTCGCGCCGTCCTTACGGCCCCTCGTGCCGCCCCTTACGGCCCCTCGCGCCGTCCCTTACGGCCCCTCGCGCGGCCCCTTACGCCCCTTACGGCCCCTCCCGCGGCCCCTCACGGCCCCCTACGGCTCGTCGCCGCCCTCCGCGGCCCCGCCACCTACCTGTGCGGCCCCGCCACCTACCTGTGCGGCCCCGCCACCTACCTGCGGCCCCGCCACCTACCAGCGGCCCCGCCACCTGCCCGCGGCCCCGCCACCTACCTGTACGGCCCCGCCACCTTCCTGCTGGCCCCGCCACCTACCTGCGGCCCCGCCACCTACCAGCGGCCCCGCCACCTACCTGCGGCCCCGCCACCTACCAGCGGCCCCGCCACCTACCTGCGGCCCCGCCACCTACCTGCGGCCCCGCCACCTACCAGCGGCCCCGCCGCCTCCTCTCAGCGGCCCCGCCGCCTCCTCCCAGCGGCCCCGGACGCCGCACTCTCAGCGGCCCCGCCGAGCCGCCCAGCAGCCGAGCCGCCCAGAAGCCGAGCCGCCGAGCCGCCCAACAGCCGAGCCGCCGAGCCGCCGAGCAGCCGAGCCGCCGAGCCGCCCAGCAGCCGAGCCGCCGAGCCGCCCTGCAGCCGAACCACCCGAGCCGCCCTGTCCGGTAAGAGCAGCGCCTCTTTCACAGCACTGCCCTCACCCTACTGTTTGCGCTACTAGTCTATTGCTGTCATGGCTACCCCTAGTGTCCTCGCTTTTGACGCTGAGGGTCGGGCCATTGACTTTGACGTCTGGATAGATGACCTGCAGCTTTTCTTACAGTGCGATAGAGCAGACGGCCTCTCCCTCTTTGACCTCACTTTTGGTGCCTCTCCTGCCCCCGCTGCTGATGCTGAAGCCACTGTTCGCTCACAGTGGGCCACGCGCGATGCTGCTGCACGTCTTGCTGTGCGTCGCCACCTGCCTACCTCTGAGCGTGCGCACTTTAGCCAATACAAGAGTGCTCACACCTTGTACGACGCTGTAGTTGCGCGCTACTCCTCCCCTGCCACTGCTGCACTGAGCCGCCTCATGCTACCGTACCTCTTCCCTGACCTTGCTGCCTTTCCCACAGTCGCTGACCTCATTACGCACCTCCGCACTAGTGACACTCGCTACCGCGCTGCGCTTCCTGTTGAGTTCTGCGCCAAGAACCCCCCCCCCCATGTACATCACCCTCTACTACATAGTCACCCGACTCCCTGACTCCCTTCGCGTAGTCAGGGACCACTTCCTCTCAGTTTGCCCCACCACTCTCACCGTTGACCTCCTCGAGAAGTCCCTCCTAGCAGCAGAGAAGATCATAGTAGCTGTAGGAGCCTCTCGTGGTGACCCTCGCACCCCCATCTTTGAGGGGTGTTCCCCCTCTCCCCTTTTGCCCTCTGTTGCCTCTGCTGCTGCGGCCGACCTCGTTGGGCTTGAGTCGGTCGGTGCGGCGTCTACCCCTACCGGGAGACGCCGCCCTGGCAAGGGCAAGGGGGGCAGGGGCACTGGAGGAGCTAGCGGGGGCGGTGGAGGCGGC